CTTTCCCTTCTCTTTTCTTCTTTTCTTTCTCTTCTCTTATTTCTTTTTCTTCTTCCCGGTCTTCACTCACGTCTTCTCCACTGTGAGCCTCTCCCTCGACACCTTCTCTTCTCCTTTCTTCTCTTCTCTCTCTTCTCTTAATTATTTTTCTTCTTTTCAAACACTACTCACGTCCTCTGTGAGCCTTTCCCTTGGCCTCACCATCCTTTTTAAAAGGAAGAAGTGAGAATCTTCCCCTTCCTAAAGCCTCAGAGTGGCATGCATGCAACCTGCAAAGAAGAGACTAATGCATGCTCTCTCGATCAACACTGCAACCCTAAAAACGGTCAACACTACAACTCTTTAGGTAGGTTGACGTTTTCTGTTTGTATAAAAAACATCACTTGCCCTGACGTTCTCTTTTAACTATGATCGGACACCCATGCATGTGGCCTCTAACGTGTGACAGGGAAGGAATCGGCAAGGAACTCATCAGCTAGACTCACTTTTTTAGCTTGTAAGGAAAACATCTCCTAGACTGGCGTTTTCCATTACTTTTTCGAGTAAAGGAAGTCGTCAAGCACTGTGACGCTTTCTTGCTTTGCATGACTCACCTAGCAGATTCTTCTACTCCTCTGCTCCTTTTGCATGATTCTTTTGCACTGGTTGAATGGTCAAACTGCATGATAAAGGTAACATGCATGCATGCTTTGTAAGTAACGTGTCACTGGTCTTTACATTTTTCGGAAGTCGTCACCTCCGGTGACTTTTTCATATCTATCTCCAAATCTGACGTGGTCAAAATTATTTAATTTAATAAATATATTAATTTATTTTAGTAATTTTTTATTTATTATGACGAAAAAGCCTAATTCTCAACCCTAAACATTAGTCATATAAGAAAATTATTTCTTGTTGTACTTTATTTATATTTCTTATAGCATTTTTATCCAATCTTCATTATTTTTTTTAAATATTTAGTCAGTTGTCATTATATATATATATATAAAATCACTAATTTAATTTAAATCTTTAATATTTTAAACTACAATTTTATAATTATTTTTCCTAAATATTATAGTATCATTCCATCACATATTTTAATTAGCTCTATATTTCAATTGAGTGATGTTGTAGTTATTGAATATTTTTTTTATTTGGTATTAAAAGATGATATAACATAAATATATTTCTAATACTATTGGATAGGGTGTCATTAGGTTGTCAATAAAGGCTCACCTAACATATTACTACTGTTATTAAGCAGATATACTTCATTTTTAGAAATAAATCATTTAATAAAATAAATTAAATTAAAAGTTATTATAGTTAGTATAACTTTAATTAGTTATTCAATACAAAAATTAACCTAATTTATATGTATATTACGAAATTTATGAAAATAAATCGTGTATTACACATATTATCAAATCTAGTTATTTTAATCTTAATCATCAATCATAACAATATCTAATAATGATCATTATTTCTATCACTCTTATATAAAATAAAATAGAGTCTTTCACTAAATATGCTCCACCTCTTTACATATTATTTTCTATATAACAAATTATAATAGGCAAACAACACTAGTCATATTTAAGATATTGTAATATGGATTTACTTTTAAGATAAATCTCATTAATGTTACATTCACACATATTATTAAAATAAAATTATAATTTTGATTGGAGAACAATAACAACTATATCTAAGTTTTATTTTTTAATCATACTAAACTTTGTCTTATAATTTAAATTAAATTTAAAAGGCTAGAAACGTTGAATAAAATGACAATCGGCAACTTCAGTAAAAGAACTTTTACATATCATATAAACACTACCACTCATCATTTTAAAAAGAAAATTATAATTCGTTATATCGAAATTACTCTCTAACTCTTTAAAAAAAAACTATCTATAGTGTGAATGTTTATCATGGTTTTGAAAAGTAAACCAACCATTTTTTGTTTGTTAACTAAGAAAGTGTTATCTCATTTGAATTTTTGTTGGGCAGATGTTAAACACACCTCCACTCTCGTATCAACACACCCCCTTTTTTTTAAAAAAATATATAAAATGTCTAAATTACCCTTTTAAAAAAATGAAATTCCTAAATTTACACCTCCCTTCCCCGAACCCCCCTTATCCTGTATAAGCATGTAAACTTTAGTCTGGAACGACACCAGAACGGGCCGTTCTGTTGCAGTACAGGTCACCGCGTCACTTTTAAAATGGCTACTTTATGAATGATTTTAAAACTCCGATTTTAAAAGTCATTTTTGTACTAGTGTTTCTTTCCATAAAACAAGTAAGAGTCTTTCTCTTACAAGACCACCTGCTGATATTGCGCACCCCTCTTCTTTCTCTTTGTGGCACTCCTCTTCTTTTTTTTTTTCCCGTACCTCGCACACCCCTCTTCTTTCTCTTTCTGGCACTCCCCTTCTTCTTCTTCTTACTGTTACGGAAAGTTCTTTTCGGAATTATATAAAAATGTTCCGGAAAATACTTTCCATAATATTAAATTCTTATTCCGGAAAGTATTTTCCGGAAATGTTTTGTTACATAATTCCGGAAAGTACTTTCCATAATATTAAAGTTACTATTACGGAAAGTTCTTTCCGGAATTATATGAACAATAATTTTACTATTCCGGAAAGTACTTTCCGGAATGCTAATGACTGTAAAAGTACTTTCCGGAATGCTAATGATTGTAAAAGAGCCTTTCTTATGCTGGTTATGGTGGGGCTAGTCCTTTTTTTCTATTCAGAATGACTGTAAAAGTATATTACTTAATGACATTGAGCGAAAAGAGACTTTGGGAAGAAGAGGGGTGTGGAGTGTGGGGTGCGGGGAAGGGGGGTGCGGGGAAGGGAGGTGTAAATTTAGGAATTTCATTTTTTTTAAAGGGTAATTTAGACATTTTATATATCTTTTTAAAAAAAGGGTGTATTTATACGAGAGTGGAGGTGTGTTTATCATCAGCCTTTTTGTTGTCTATTGTTCTTTGGGTAATTTGGTAATGGACCAAATCACGGCCCAAATTATGTAACTAAGACAGGGCCCATAAAAGGATACATTGGGCTATTCTGACAATGGGCAAGGCCCGACCTAATTCACGGTGGCACTTCTGTGATTTTATAATAATCGAAGGCTAGTTATGAAGACTTTGGGTATACATAGCCATATAAACAACCATTGAGTTTTAGGGTTTCTACGGCGAGGAGATCGACGAGGAGGAGCACCAGCAGCCGCAGCAATGGTTCTCAAGTTAGTTTTCTCCAAAATCAACTTCTCTTCTTTCCTTCGATTATTTCATCTTTCAATTTCACGTTTTCTGGAAACGAATTTCGTTTTTAACTCACGCTGCGTGTTGAAACCTACCTACTGCTTCGAGTTTCGTTGCATCTCCATCGGTTAGGGTGTTCGGTTGGATGCGTACACGCGGCGTGTCGTTTCGCCGTTCTCGTTGTTGATTGTTATGTTGTCGTTTTCGGGATGGCGAATTGGCTTAGGGTTGAATAATCTGTTTTAGGTCACTGAAGCGAGATTGTGTTTTCTGTTTGGGATTATTGTTTTTTTTAGTAGATGTATTTGTTTGAAATTTGGCATTATACGATTAGTTTACAATACATGAAAGATCTGCATTGTTACTTTGTGCTTTTTTAGTTGGCATTGCCCTAGACATTTTGATTTGAGCAGTTTATGTAAACTTTTTGGTGCAATAGAACTGCTAATGCTAGTTTTAATCTTAATATAGCAGAAAAAATGTTCCGCAGAAACGAATGTGTTTCAAGTATTTGTAGATTTCGGCTTGTGATCAAGCAGTTTTTTATTTTTTCAAAATCGAAGATGTTTTTTCTTGTTTCAAAAAGGAAGGAAAAGTGGGTTTTAAGAAATCGACCAAAGCACATGTTTATTGATTGAAATTAGTCATGCGCTGAACTGTTTTATAGTATGAATTAAATGAGTAATAATATTTCAAATTATAATCTCTGTATACATAAGGTCTGCTCACTGGTTGCTTATATTTGTGTCTTAGGACCGAACTTTGCCGTTTCAGTGGTGCAAAGATCTACCCTGGCAGAGGAATCAGATTTGTTCGTGGTGATTCTCAGGTGACAGAATTGTGGCACTAAATTTGATGTTTTCTATGGTGTCTTCATAATTGGTTTACTTATGTGATAGTTTTGTTGGTTGATTGAGTAGGTTTTCCTGTTTGCCAACTCGAAATGCAAGAGGTATTTCCACAACAGATTGAAGCCGTCTAAGCTCACATGGACTGCCATGTATAGGAAGCAGCATAAGAAGGTGAATATGTAATAAATTGATTTGTTTGTGACATAGCAATCATCAGAAACCTGTTGTGGGGCTTGTAAAAAATAGTAATTGTCATTAACTGTTGTTATACACCTGGTTGTGTTGAGTTTGTGAAACTGGTTTTATTTAATGGCAACTTATAAATGGGTTTCTGTGCCATTCCTGTTAGTTCAAAGTGGCTTGAGAACCTGTTAGTTCAAAGTGTTTTGGGTTCACCATGTCTGTGATTTAGTATGTTTTTAACTCCATGTATACTGGCCTTTTATTTGTGTAATTGTGCTGTGTAGGATATTGCCCAAGAAGCTGTGAAGAAGAGGCGCCGTGCTACCAAAAAGCCTTACTCTAGATCCATTGTTGGTGCTACCTTGGAAGTTATTCAGAAGAAAAGAACTGAGAAGCCAGAGGTTCGAGATGCTGCTAGAGAAGCTGCCCTCCGGTGTGTTGTTCTTCCTTTTTATGCCGAGGGCTTATGTATCCTTTGGTTGCGGTATACAATTATGGCTACCATATCTCATTATCTGAAGTTATGTTTTGCAGTGAAATTAAAGAGAGGGTAAAGAAAACAAAGGATGAGAAGAAGGCCAAGAAGGCAGAAGTTCAGGCAAAGTTACAAAAATCACAAGGCAAAGGCAACCTTGGCGGCAAGGCTGCTGCTCCCAAAGGTCCCAAGCTTGGTGGTGGAGGTGGCAAGCGCTAAGTGCCAAGTTTTGTTCCAATTCGGGCTAGCACTAAAATAGTGTCGTTTTGTTCCTTTTGCACTGATATTTTATTTTGTTAATTTATCCTTTTACTGTTTATGCTCGGAGCTTATAGTACCTAGTATTGATTGGATTTTGCCTCAGCTAATTTTCATTTTATAAAACTTCACTTGCGTGTTTTTCAAATTTCGTCAACTAACTCGAAGCTCAAAAAGGTAATCTCCTATGGAGAGACCGGTTGTTGTGGTGGTGCACACATTCACCATCTTTCCTTTTAATGGCTTTTGTTATTCCCTTAGAAGCCTCTTGGATTTAACCTTTTATATCATAGTTTTTATATAAAGTACAACTTGTATGATTCGCGTAACCTTTTTGTAGTGAAGTCAGTTATACCGGATTACCACACGGTTACATTTTCAACCAGTTCAAGTCACGCTTCCTTTTGAAATGTCAAATTAACATCCGATGCTGTCACTCGGTTATCATTAACTGTATATTGTAGTAAACAATGTCAACCATGAGATGGAATTCGAAAGGGTGATGTTTGTAAGGTCAAGTTTATTGTAATTTAAATAAAAAACATTTAAATAAAAAAACCAGTATTTTAGATAAATTGTTTTATATTAAATAGATATAACATAAAATGCTTTATCATATAAAAAGTATATTGTAATTAAAATTTGTAATAAAAAATAATTTTAACTATATATTATATATTAATTTTAATTGTGATAAATAATTTATATTTTGATATAAAAATATTTTTAACTTTTGATATTCTGTTTTTTTAAAAAACATTTAAGTTTAATTTAAAATTAAAAATGAGAATGATATATTAAGATGTAAGAAAAAATTCTCAAAAAATATCAAAAGAGAAGCTTAAAAGCATTTGTTAATAAACAATCTCTAAAAATACTCTCATTTGAAGGAATCTATACAAGATAAATATTCATTTTATACAACTAAAATTTATGATAAATAATTTTAAATATATAAAGTATTTTACATTAATAATAAATAATTTACATTAAGAAATAAACATATTTTTAATTTTTTTAATATATTTATATATATCAAAACTCATATTTTAGTATGTACAATAAATAAGATAAATAATCATGTTAAGTAAGCATAATTTTATAATTAATAACTTTTTTGAATATTTAAATTATATTTCACTAAAAAAATGTTCTCATTAAAAACAGTCTCTAAAAATATTTTGTTCAAGATAATTATTGTAGTTTATATATACAAAGTGAGATTTATATATAAAAATATATAAAGATTATTATTAATGATGATATTTAAAAATCATATTAAATTCTATTGTGAAAAAATGAAATAATATATATATTTTTTTCATTGGTAGATGAAAGTGATATACAGTTAAAGATAAAAAAAAAATTAAAAATAAGAATGAGAGAGAGAGAGAGTGAGAGTGAGAGAGAGAGAGAGAATATAGTAAAATAACAAGGTTGGTGAAATCAAGGAGAGTGTTATGAAATAAGAGAAATGAACTAAAATTTGACTATTGTATTATTCTTATAAATAGAAAAGATGAGTTACAAGTTGTTTATGCAACTACAATTGCATGTTTGGTTGCGAATGATGAAGTTGAGATTAATATAAGAGTCAAATTGACATATTACATAGACCTAGAAACACTAAATAGAGTTCTCATTTAAATTCAATATATAGTCTTATATGTACATATATAATACAACTACTTTAGCTTTTGAAAATCTAGCTATAAAAGGATCTAACTATTCTCAATGGATGCTACTTATGTTCTTAAAACATCAATAACATTTAACTATGTTTTTCTTTTTAGTGTGATTGAAAAAATCACGGGAAACTTTGCCGCAACAACATTAATTCAAAAGCTAAGAAATTTTGGTTGCGATATTATTTTTAAAAAGGTCACATCTTTTTTTGTAGTAATCATGATATTCATTATTCAAATTTTTAACAAAAGTGTTTCTTTCTATTCCATAATTTAATCTCATCATCAAAAGGATTATATTTTAGTTGGACATAATTATATTCAATATTGTCATCGATTATCAACTAAAGGATCTGAATAGCAGATTCGTTGAGTATACTATCAAGTTTCTTAACATTGAACACAACTTTGAACCATAAAGACACATCCAAGTCATTTAATATTGGTAAAATCTGCAAGCTTTTTGAGAAGTCTTGTTGAGAAATTTTACTTAGTTGATTTTTTTTGATCGAGAAAAGTTTGAATAAAAGTATGAATCGTAATATTATGACTTTGATATGCTTAAACATATTAACCTTCAAAATTTGTTTTCTATTCATGTATTCTTTAATCGATTGTTCTTATGACTTGTTTTAACTCTTATTGTATTAGCAATAGTCATATAACTTATTTTTTCAGCTATGAAAGTTATAAAAACAAGATTAGGCAAATAAAATGAAAGATTTTTCACTAATTACATGATTATTTATATTGAGAGCGAGATTAATTGTTGAAAAATTACTACAAATATGATAATGAATGATTTTCACTTATGGATCAAAGATGAGTCCAACTTCAAAGTGAAGGTTCACATATGTTTTTTTAATATATCTTTTAGAATATTACCTATAATTATATATTTTTTAACCTTTTTAAAATTATTTGTTAAATCTTGCTAAATTTTCATTGACTTTGTTGAAATGTTATATTTTGATCATAAGAAAATTACTAACATTGTTGTTAGTCTTATATGTTACACATTTTATCATCTTATATGACAGATAAAAGATGAGACCCTTATTTTTTTTTTTACTCTTTTATACTAGTCATTGGTACTTTTATGATGATTGTACTTATTATTTAGTATCTCATTTTTTTTAATAAGAAAATAGTAGTTATAAGTTAAATTTCTTATATAAGTCATGCATATGAAAATTTAAATATTCTTATTTAAATAATAACTTTATTTTTTGATTAATAAAGAATAAATATATATTAAATTGGTATGAAGTACCAAAAATCCATATGCAAATCATAATTTAAGTAAGATGTAGCATCCAAATACTTAACCAATTGATACTATACAATTGATTACTTTATATTTGTATTTTTTTCAAATTATAAATAAAAGATAAACAACCAACAACCAACTTATCTATGCTAAAACTAGTAACTAAGACATCATTATCTTTGATGAAAAAAACTCTTCCTCACACAATAAGATTATCCACATGTCTAAGGATTTTAAACATAATATACCTAGATTTTATTTCTTGGCTCTCTCTATATAAAACAAATTTGTAATACAAAATTTAAATCATATAATCCTCCTAATAAAAAAATAGGAAACAAATCACTAAAAGATATTAAAACAAATAAAAATTTGTAAATCTAAATAATATCCTAAAGGCGACAAATTCCTAAAATAACTCCTTTAATTTCCACTCAATTTATTTGAAACTTGAATTATTTTCTCAACAAATCCTCTCTTAATTAAAATTTTCAAATAACTAGTTGATTAAAACATTTATCTTCTCAAAACTTGTTTTTCCAAGTAGCAAAGATTTTTCTCATTTTTTTGTCCTTGCAATATCAAGCATCTCCCCTTGTATACTTTACATCCCCATTTTGAATCAACATACATGTAGGCTTGTGAAGTTAGCTCTCCCAATGAAATTATACTGGATGCAGTAGAAACTACATATCTCACATTTTCAAAAGTTTGGATGACATTGTTATGAAGTTTCATTCTTACAGTCCCACTACCTTTAACTTCCATTTTCCCACTGTTTCCTAACTTGAATTGATTAAACTCACCATTAGTTTTTAAAGTGTGAAACATAGTTTAGTCTCTACAAATGTATTTTGAGACAGTAGAATCCATTATCTATTTTGATTTAGTAACTTTCTTAGTAGTTGCCAAATAAACATCTTCATTGTCATGAAAGTTTTGGGTTACATTAGTTTGAGAGTTATCATTTCTTCTCATAATTCTCAATTTTTGATAGTCCTTTCTGATTTCTTTACACATTGATTACATGTGACATTTCTTTCCACAATAGTAACATTGCATGTTACTCATATCTTGTTCTAAAAGTGATTGAAAATTTGATCTTCCTTTAGACTCATTTTGTCTACATGAATTACTTGTCTCTTGCTTAGAATATTGCACGACTAGTGCATGACCTTCAATATTAATATTCTTCAATAATATTTTTCCTATAAACAACGTTTGAACTAAGGATTTATAAGACTTTGGTAGTGAAGTCAACAACAACATTGCTAGTTGTTCATTTGAAATTTTTTTTATTTACATTTAGCAATTGACATACTAGCTAGTTGACATGATTAATGTGATCATGAAAATTTTCTTCCATCTCCATTTTGAGTTGATATAACTCCATCTTTAAATATAGCGAGATGACTTAGATATATAACTGTTCTCAAGCTTCTTCCATAAGACTTTTCTTTTAACACGTTACACTTGATCCGGAGAGTAAGAGCTAATTGAATTGTATTTACAACCTTCTTTGGATTTGAATCCATTCTCTTATATTATTTGGCTTTTCATCTTCTAAAGTTTGATCAAGACTTTGTTGCAATAAAATATCTTGAATGGTACACTACCAAATCATAAAATTTGTCTTACCATTAAATGACGATATCTCAAACTTTTGTGTGATTACCGCCATAGATTTGATGTCATTGATTAGAAAAATTATTTTTCACACAATAAGATTACCCTAATTAAGGATCTTAAATGGAACACACCAAGATTTAGACTTTTTTTGGATTTGACTCCATTCTCTCTCATTGATATTATTTGGCTTTTCATCTTCCAAAGCTTGATCATGACCTTATTGCACTAAAATATCTTGAATGGTTTACAAGATCATAAAATTTGTCTTACCATTAAATGACATCTCAAACTTTTGTGTGTTCATTGTCATAGCTTTGATGTCATTGATTGGAAAAATTACTTCTTACACAATAAGATTACCTACACGTTCAAGAATCTTAAATGGAACACGCCCATATTTTATTTATTGTCTCTCTTTAAATAGAGTAAAATTGTAATACAAAATTTGAATCATATAATTATTCTAATAAAAAAATAGAAAAAAAATCTATAAAAGATATTAAAATAAAAATTTATAAATATAAATAATATCCTAAAATTTTAAATTCCTAAAATAACTTCTTA